TAAAAAGATTACCCCGCCCCCCCCCCCCCCCCCCTCCCCCGACTCCCGTTTCACGACAAAACCGGCCGCGTCTCGAACAACGTACCCGCGCCCCAGGGGAGTGCAAAGCCGACCTGCGACAGGACTTCCAGGTATGGTTCGCGATACACTCCACCCTCCGGCCGCTCTGCGCGATGGTGCTGCAGAGCCTGGAGAAGCGCGGGGTGCCAGGGAGCACGAAACAGCTGTCCAACCTCGAGGAGGAGGGCATGAAGTTCCGGGTGGGTTTTAGGTTTATTCGCGCTGGGTTAGGGCTTAGGCTGGGTCCGGTTGGGTTTTGGCTAGGTTGGGTTGGGACTGGGCTGTTTTTTGGTTGGTCATGATGGTTGTGTAGAGGAACCTTTTGGCTTTTCGTGTCGGCTGTTTGGTGGAGGAGCGCATGAAGTTTCGGGTGGGTTGGGTTCAGTCGCGCTAGGTCAGGGCTTAGCTAGGTTATGTTAGGTTGAGTTGGGTTTGGCTACATAAGTTGTGGTAGGCTGGGTTAAAGGTTTAGGTCAGGTTGGGTTTGGGTAGATACGCGAATATTTTTTTCGTGGTTTACATTTTTTTTTTTTAACTTTTCGTTCGTCTCGGGTGTTCCAAGACCAGAGGTTCTTTCGTGTTGGTGCATCATTCTCTGTGTATTGAAGCGCACATTGCCAACAGCAGTGGCTGCGACACTGCCAACCATGGAAGGAAGCTCTCGAGTGGTCACCAGCGAAATCATTGTGCTTACGGTCGCGCGTGCACCCCGGCACTTGTACGTTGAAAAACAGGACGCCTACCTTGAGGGGACAGAGGTGGTGCGATCCCCGCTCGACAAGACCGTCAAGGCCTTGCTCGTCAAAAGGTAAGTTGTTGGTGTTTGTGTTGGTGTTATGGACGGTGTTGGTGTTATGGACGGTGTTGGTGGTGTTTGTGTTGTTGTTGGTGGTGGTTGGTGATGTTGTTGTTGTTGTTGTTGTTGTTGTTGTTGGTGTGTTGTTGATGCCGTGTTACCCTGAAATCTCGGTGTTGAAATTGCCCACATCGCCTTGTGCAGACGCCCGGCGGCGTTTTTCGCACCGGTTCATCCTTCGGCAGCCGCAGGCTTCTTGAATTCGCCCCCTTTCCCTGTTCTATGCCTATGCCGCTCTCTGTGTCTGTGTCTGTCTTTGTCTTTGGCTCTATCTCTCTCTGTCTCTGTCTGTCTCCCTGTCGCTGTCTGTGTCTCTGTCTCTCCCCCCCCTCCTCCTCCTCTCTCTCTCCCTCTCCCTCTCTCTCTCATGCGCCCGCGCTTTCTTCGCGAAACGATAACAACAATAAAACACGAACTTTTTTTTCAACAGGATTTTCGGTCTGATCGGTTGCAAGCCCACCGGTCTCGGCGCTCTAGGGGTCGGCAGCATGAGCGGGGGGCCCGGGGGAGGCGGCAAGAGCGGAGCTATCTACACCGAGTCCCTCAGGTGAGGGAGTTGTGCCATCGTCCTCCCAAAACACCGTCTCCCTCCCAATACCGTGCTTTAGAATTTTGTTGGGTGAAAAAAAGGGTGTTGTTTTCATGACGAGCGAGTCTTTGTGTACGACCGTCACGGGCGGAGGTCGGAGGAACTTTTAAACACGAAGACTCGCTCGTCATGTGTGTTTGTCGAGGTTTTCGGCATATCATATCAGCTGTATTTTCGGCGATTGTGGTGGTCTAACATGCCTTATTTATTCTTCTCCCGTTCCGACCCTTTGTTGGGTGTACCCTCTCGTTAGACAGTCAGGCTAGCAACAAGGCTCTTTTTTTACAGCAAAGGATCTCTCCTCCCCCCCCCCAGGTCGTACTTTGGCGGTACCTCTTCCACAGGAAAACGCATCTGTATTGATTAAGGGTTGTTCGTGACTAGGGTCACTTGCATGTTTATTTCCACGAACGGGGGTGTGCCAGTAATAACAGTTTTTAATGCCACCTTGTTTTGTCCCCGCCGAAAGGTACTCCAAAACACTCCTGTTAAAATCAATGTGTCCACCGTTCCTCCTTCTCCTCTCCACCGCTAAAAGATAGCGGGCCATCGCCCACCCTCGTTCGCCTCCCTCTGTTGGTGCGGTTGCGCCGCCGCCGCCGCCGCCGCCGCCGTCGCCGCGCTCGTTAATCTCGCCCCCGGTCTGTCTGCGTTTTGCCGCGTTGCTGCTGCGGCGTGGTGTCTCATTCGTCGTTGCCGCGCTCGTCACTCCACCCCCCTCTGTTGCGGCTTGCTGTGTTTCTGCGGCGTATCTCGTCTCATTCGTAGCTGACGCGCTCGTCACGCCTACCCTCCCTCTCTTGCGGCTTGCCGTGTTTCTGCGGCGTATCTCGTCTCATTCGTAGTTGGCGCGCTCGCCACTCCTAACCCCCCCCCTTTCTCTTTCTCTATGCGTTTTGCTGCCTTTTTTCTGCGACATGTCTCTTTCGCCGTCGTCGCGACGGTACGTATCTGATTCCCATCCGCAGGACCGCCGTGTCGGGGCTCAACGACGCCCTGCTGTCTGCGGAGGATCAGGTGTATCGCCCTCTGGAGGAGGCGGTGGTACCGGCTTTGGTGAAGAGCTCCACCTTCGGGAACTTCGTGGACGACCTCAGCTCCCTGGAGGTGTGTGTGTGTGTTTATTTTATTATTTGCATCGACCGCGCTAACCGGCTGACCAATGAAAAGACGTCAGTGCCAGTGCGGGTGGAAACCAAGAACACTTCTAAATGCCATTAACTGGGACCTCATGAGGGGGTGCGTGTGTGTGTGTGTGTGTGTGTTTTCGTCCTATTTATTATGGCGACAGTCCCCCCATTTTTCGTGGTGAGACGTGTAGTGTCCGTGTTCTTTTTTGTTGTTGTGGATTGCATGGACCGCGTTAACCGACTGGCCAAAAGCGGGAAGTCGCCATGACTCCGTGCTAAAGACGAAAAACGGATCAATTGTAAAGGCCACGTGTTTCTTTGTTTGGGTCTTGTAACGCGAAGTGCGAATCGAAAATCATATTTTCTCGTGTCCGGCAGCTTTGAAATCGAAAAAATGGCCCGAACGGATACCACAATAAAAAAAATACGGGAGAAACAGCACGATGTACCCAAAGGCAGACGGGGCCATCACCTGGTACCACGGTGCGATCTGTACCTCTATCGATGAGGCATCCTTCCCCCTCCTATGAATTTAGTCATACGCAGCTGTCATCCGTACGCAAGGAAGTAAGCACAAACCGAACACCCTTAGCAGGATGTAGCGCACCCTTCATGCGACTCGCCGAATACCTCACGGCGCTTCGCGCTTGGTGATGTGAGAGCCTGGTCCGGTGAGAACCCGGCGTGCTCCGTCCCGGCTTTGTAGGGATGCGAGGTCAATGGTCTAATGACTACGGCATGCACGACTATGAGTACCCCCCCCCCCCGCCCCCCACCCCCTTCGTATGGGCCGTATTCTCTCTCGGTTTCTCACCCCCGCCCTCCCCAATGCGCTCCGCTGCAAGCTCG